AATGGGTTTTGGGCTAGACTTTGCATTTCACCCCTCCAACTTTCCATTTCTTCAATTGAGTCCTTTTTCTCATCTTCTTTTTGAATTTTCCAATTTCTTTTTGCATGTAACACCTGAAACAAAATAAAGATATATTAGTCAAAGAAAAGGGAAATTTTCATATTTTTACATTTTTGATTTTTCCTTTTTTTTTTCAATGAAAATTTGAGTTATGACACGATCATTAATTTTATTAAGATTGTCAAAATAGTTAAAGTTTTATTTAATTTAACAATACTATTTTAGTTACAATGTCATTTATAATTTTACTTGATATTAAATAAATAAATACATATAATGTTATGGATAAATTTTTAAATAAAAAATTAATTATATAAAAATACATTATATTATAAATTTATAATACCACATAATATTATAATTATAATATTTTTATTATTAATTTAATAATTTAAAACATTAATAACTGATAAAATAATTATTATTTATTATTTAATAAATTAAAATTAATTTATAAATAAATATTTTAAAGTATTATAATTAATTATTAAAAAATTACAAACTAACAAAATTACAATAAAACTAATAAGTGATACGTGATTTAGAGCGTCGGCCGTAATTATCCAACTCTACTGGCCCAAAAAATTCCATTTTTTATTATCAGAAAAAAATATATACTCCGTATATTGCTGCTTCCTCAGCCACGGAAAGAAAAGAAAGGCCCGTACGCAACAAAAATAACGAAATCGTTCCCGGCTTACTTCACCTCCTTTTTACTTTTCCCAATTTTCAGCCAAATTGTCTGCAAAATCTTCTATGGTTCTTCTCTTCGCAAATTACTTCGCTGCTTTCTTTGAACTCTAACGTTTCTGCGCTGATCTTACTCGAAAATGAGCTTGATTCATCCCAATTGCGTTTCTCAATCTCAATTTGCACCTGCTCCGCTATCCTTCCATGGAGTGCCGCGAAGAACCAAGAAGCTCTCGGCGGTGAGGATTTTTAATTTAGCTGCGGCGGGGAGGAGCTTGGTGTCTTCGAACCAGACGGAGAGTAAGTCTCTACAGTTGGGCAAGTCTAGCAAGGCCATGGAGCAGCTTGACTTCGAACGTGGCGTTTGTGTGCCTTTTCGCAAGTATTCTCCCGAGACAGTACGATAATTATACCTGTAATTTCAAATTTTGTTTCTCTCCTTTTTTTTTTTTTCCTTCTTTTAGATTTGATTGTTACTATTTGTTAGTTTCTTGAGATTTTGATGTTAAAGAAGAGAAGTAAGGCACAGGAGTGGAAGATAGCAGTGTTGAAGTGAAATTTTGGACTTGCATGATTCAATTCGTTGATTTTGCTTATGTTATTGATAATTGGATTAAGAGTTTTGATAGTATATCTGTAAATTTTGATCTGAAATGTTGTTGTTTTAACCCTTCAAATAGTAAATAGTGTTTTTGATGATTTTGCTGTTGATAAATAGGTCAGGAATAAGGTGTTGGAATCTAGAGGGGCAATTGCATCACTTATGTTACGTGGTGTTGAAATAGTGTGGAATTTGGGGTTGTACTGGACGTCATTGATGTATGACTGTTTCGTTGGGAGGGATGAAGAGGTGGTTCCTTTTCGTGCTCGGCAACTTAGGAATCTATTGTGTGATCTGGGCCCTTCCTTTATCAAAGCAGGACAGGTTTGCCATGTTTTATTTATAAACAGTTGTTAATTGAACTTGAAAAACTGGCAATTTTTTGTATGAATTTGAACCTGCTTTGTGTGAATTCAAACCTGCTTTATATGAATTTCTTGCATAACTTGCTGGCAGATATCTATGTAGTTAAGGATGCCTCTTGGTTCTGGCCTGGGATCCCTGCTCATGGATGTTTCTTGTTTTGACAGGTTCTGGCAAATAGACCTGATATCATCAGAGAAGATTACATGAATGAACTATGCATTCTTCAAGATGACGTTCCTTCTTTCCCTAATCAGGTAGATGTACTCTGCTAGCACTGTGTTTGTGAGGAACATCTCTATGTTTTATGCCTTGATTATGTCATGTAATTTAACCAGAAATTCTTTAATAGATTGCTTTCAGCATTATTGAAGAAGAATTGGGCCAACCCCTTGAAGCAGTATTTAGCAAAATTTCATCTCAAACAATAGCAGCTGCAAGCTTGGGCCAAGTTTATCGAGCGACCTTACGTCAGTCAGGAGAAGATGTTGCAATTAAGGTTGTAAAATGTTTTCTTTCATGCAAGGATCTTCTTATGCTTTTGGCTCTTTAATGTGCAATTATCATCCAGAAAAAAATGTTCCAGAAATTTCTTAATAACATAGCATGATTCATGTACTTGCACAGGTTCAAAGGCCTGAGATAGAGCCTATAATCTATCGGGATCTTTTTCTGTTCCGAACACTGGCATCCTTCTTAAATGGCATTAGTTTACAGAAACTGGGCTGCAATGCTGAGCTTATTGTTGATGAATTTGGTGAAAAGCTTTTGGAGGAACTTGATTACACCTTGGTACATTTAAAAATGCCTTATGCCTTGCTTACACTTGAATAATTTATAATAGATATGCAGGGAGTTTAGGCCACCACATAAAGTGCGCTGAAAATGGAGCCTTTTATCTGGCTGCTTTGGCCTGATTACCCTCTAGATTTAATGCCTCTGCTTGCACAATAGTTATCTTAGTAATGGATAAACTTTTAAAGTAAATGTGTTACTCTTTTTTGGTGTTATGATGCTCTTATGTTTGATACTTTTGTTATGCTATCTTCTTCAGGAAGCCAGGAATATTGAAGACTTCATTGAGAACTTCAAAAATGATCCCACTGTCAAAATTCCTCGGGTTTACAAACAACTTTCTGGTTCTCGTGTTTTGGTAATGGAATGGATAGATGGCATTCGGTGCACTGACCCACAGGTTTGTACTTAAAGTTAGATGATGCTGAGTACCATATACTGGTTGAAGAAAGTTTTTATTACGAAATATAACTTTGAATAATATTTTCCTCAATGCATCTCAGGCTATTAAGGATGCTGGAATTGATGTAAATGGATTTCTCACAGTTGGAGTAAGTGCTGCTTTGAGGCAGTTGCTCGAATTTGGGTTATTTCACGGCGACCCTCATCCTGGAAATATTTTTGCCATGCGTGATGGCCGGATTGCATATGTCGACTTTGGGAATGTAGCTGTACTTAGTCAGGTAAGACATGTCTGCTGAACATGATGCAATGCACAGATAGTGTGCTGTTCAATAAAGGGTCACTTTTGCATTAATCACACCTTTTATTTCATTTTATTGATATGCTTTGTATCTTTCAGCTAAATAAGCAGATATTAATTGATGCTGTTGTCCATGCTGTTAATGAGGACTATGCTGAGATGGCAAACGACTTCACCAGGCTTGGTTTCTTGGCTAGCGGGACTGATGTCTCTCCTATCATTCCAGCTTTAGAAGCAATTTGGCAGAACTCTGCTGGAAAAGGACTTGCTGATTTTAACTTTCGAAGTGTTACGGGTAAATCTACTTCTTCCATTTGCTCACATTCAAATTCTTCCCTGGGGTGCTTTTCAATATTTGAGTTAATTTGGTTTTTTGTTCTGCCTACTTTGTATGGTTCACCAGATGTCAAGGCTCTAAGCTTGTAAGAAAATTTTCTTCCATATTTACTGCAGGGCAATTTAATAAACTGGTTTACAACTATCCAATCCGTATTCCAGAGAGATTTTCTCTTGTTATCCGTTCTTTGTTAACTCAAGAAGGGATCTGTTTTACATTGAAGCCAGATTTCAAATTTCTTGAGGTGAAGATAGATTTTTATATTTTTTGTATTCTCCTTCCTCTCTCCTTGTTCTTTTGCCTTCTTATCCCAATGCAGCAATGCCAATTCTTATTTACTGTGACCATTTTATTTATTAGGTTGATTTTCTTTCATATATGTACTGATACCATTGATTTTATTAGGTTGCCTACCCGTATGTGGCGAAGCGCCTTCTAACAGATCCAAATCCAGCTCTTCGTGAACGCCTCATACAGGTCAGTCGAATCTATGTCTATTAAAAAGCACATCTAGAAAGCCCGTCACTCCCCTATTCCTATATATGTGAAGAGGCATTTTGTCTAATTTCCTTATGATTTCAAAGGGGATTTATCTTGGATGACTGATCAGTTAGCTTAAGTGCAACAATAACTATGTAAATGATTATTGCTTGCTATGGGTTCAACTATTAGCTGCTAGATTTATTCTATCACACTTATCATTCAGAAAAGCAACGCTAACTTTTCTTTTTATCCACCTTTGCTATTTATAGGTCCCTTCTTCAGTTTTATGTGTTGGCTGATCCCATAACTTGATTTTAGATTATCATTTGTGTTTTGTATTAAGTTTCTTTTGTAGCCTATTTATATTTTCCATAAATTCACTGGCCATGGAAAAGTTGTTTCAGCCATATAGTTACTGACATTGTAACTGAGAAGAAATTCCTCTCATATTAGGTTCTATTTAAAGATGGTGTTTTCCAGTGGAAACGGCTTGAAAATCTTATTGTTCTTGCAAAGGAAAATGTGGCCAAGATGAGCAGCAACCCGGCATTGCAAGCAAAGGCCATGTATGTGCCTTGTTTTAGTCTTGAGGCTTATTTTGGTTTAGATTCTGGCATGAGCTAAGAACTTCTGATGACATTTTGTCTCCTTCACAGTCGAAGTACAAGAAACTGGCAATTTGAGAGGAAGCTGGACCTGACAGATACCATTAAAGATGGGGCTCGGCTTTTTTTCTTTGATGAAGGAATCCGTAGACAGCTTATTCTTGCACTGACTGAAGACTCAAAACTCCATGTTCAAGAGGTTTGTGAGTTGTATTATTTAATCATTTTAGCGATTGCAATACCTTATATATATGAGAGTGCTAAATTGGGGTGGTCTTTCTGTAGCTTGTGGATGTGTATAGACTGGTCGAAGACGAGATAGACATACCAACCATAGCTAGGGAAGTTGTACAAGGTAAATTTCTATCAAACTTTTTCAATTGAGGTGATAGATTGAGTTTCATATGATTAAAAAGAAAGATCGTATTTTCTTTGCTTCTGAAAGTTACATGCTTTGACTTGCATTGCAGACCTGCCAAATGTTGTTCGGGATTTTATGCTCTCCTGGAGTGACTCAGTTCTGTCTGACAGATAACGAAATTTTGGTTACTTTAGCTGTAAATGGTACTGAAATATGCAGCATAGGTAATGTTGTATAGGAATCATTTTTCTTGATGTGCCTTTGATATAGTCTGAAATAAAATGCTGTATTTTTTTGTACATTTGATGATTGATTTATACACAGAATGTGGTTCTGCTTTCTCAAATCTGTCTTCAATATCTTATAGTTGGGACATCCATCACATCCCCAAGGGACGATACTCAGCTGTAATTTGGTTTATGAGAATCAATCTTCAAAATAATGTTGTATAAACAATTATCGTTTGTAGAGGCTAATATGGTAGACCGTAACTTCATACACATAAAAAACATTTTGGGTAGCACTAGCATTTATTAAAAAAAAATTGTTAAAATATCTTTAATCCTATCAAAAGTATACTATTTATATTAAAATTAAAAAATTCATGAAGAATTATTTTTAGTTGATCTTTTAGAAATGGAATCTTAATTAATAAAATAAATAAAAAATAAACTCTCTTATCAATTAAGTTATAATTCTTTAACTCTCTTATTAATAATTCTTTAACCTTTCTCTTGAATAGTAAAATGAAATTATTCATTTAAGCTACACATTAAACTTATTCCGTGTTTTTCTATTATTTGTTACACCCTTCTATGCAATCTTTTGAATGTATATAATCAATTTATTCGACAATAAACCCGTATTTAGAAATAAAATTTTATTGCACATAAACGATGTCACAATTTTTAAATTTATTTATTTTTTATGTTGATTGCACAATAAGAGGTAACTCTTTCCCATCTTTTATCCTACTTTATTTGTATGCCATGCGATTTAAATTTAGTCAATAAAGTGATATTACTACTAAAATATTTAGATCATTTGTCATAATTTTCAAATATTAAACCTAAAATCATATGATAAAAATTATTTCACTGTTTGTAATCTGTCCTACGTGATTAACAATATCTACCAATGAGGGGTTGGATTAAGTGGTAAACGGCTTGTTCCAGCTTAAGTAAGGTTTCGAGTTTGAGACCTTATGTACGCAGCAGCCTTCGTTGGGAGACCCACCTACTATTCTAGTACGTTACAGCTGGTCGAATCCGGAGTAGTCGGGGCGAAACCCCGAATATTGGGCAGGAAACCAACAAAAAAAACAATACCTTCCGGCGTATTACAAATGCATCTTTTTATGAGAATAAAGCCATGATTTGCGTATCAACTTGTTTTTTTTTATTTTTTTTTATTTTTATTTTTTTATTGTTGCTTTTCCCTTTTGAAACTTTATTTCTGAAGTGTTTAAATTCTTTATTTGGTATGTCATGTTTTTTTATAAAAAATATATTATATAGTTTAAATAGTAATAAATTACATAATTTAAATATTAAATATAGTTAAATTTATAATATTAAAATTATTTTTATTTTATAATTTAATATAATTTAAATTTCAAAACACAAATTTTTTTTATCTTTGCCTTGGTTGACACTTAATTTAAAACAATCTTTCCCATAGCACTTAAACGGAATTGTTTTTCAATATTTAATTCTAAAATCAATTGTTAAAAATTAATTTCCAATAGAAAACGCTCCTCTGCAACATTCTTTAATTAATTCCCCCCCCCCCTAAAAAAAAACATCCTTTAATTAATATTTTTTCAATAAATGATTTTTTTTACCGAACCCACAATTTATTTTTTAAATTTAAGAGACTCATATTTCTTTATGGGATGGGACTGGGTGCCTCCAATAAAAAGGCTATTTACACCCCAAAAGTTGTTTGCGGTTGTATCCACGGTTCCACATTATCTCCACTACCTGCGTAGATGCAGCAATTTTGGACTGGTAAATAGTCACACAACCCCCAAAGCAAATTCAATTAATTTACAGTGAAGGTTGAGAAAGAGGAACGCTTTCGACTTCCTTCATCCCTGCGGTTGCATCTTCATCTTCGCCATCGCCTTCAAATTCTGGAGATTTTGTCGGTTTTCAGTTCCCCCTTCTATTTCTGAGAACCCCAATTTTCTGCCTGTTGTTTGGTTGCCGAGAAAATTTACAGCGATGAGGTATAGGTATCCACTGTTTTTCTTCTCCTCTTATTTATTTATACAATGCGAAACTGGCTTCTTAACAATGTCAAATAATTGGAATTTTGTACTAAGCAATAAAAATTTTTTCTTTTTGAAAATATTTTTCGTTTTCGATAATTAAGAGAGAGAGAGAAAAAGAAAGCTTCTAACTTATTGAGATTTATGTTCCTCCGCAGGCCTTTATTCATGTGGGAGGAGAAGAACCGGAGAATTTGCAGTTATTAACGTTGTTTTATAGGTTTAACTTAGGCTGGTCGGATCGGTTTTGTAGCAGGTCTTAGATTATAGAACCAAGAAAGGGTATTGGCCCATGAATTTTTGAAAGTACTGATTCATTGGGTTGGAACCTTTGTGAGGTATTAGTTCATTCTGTTTTAGGTTTTTCGTGTGTCAATTTAATTGCTTTTTAATTTGGAGATTTGAGATTCTGTATGTAAATACTGAGGCATCTTAAATTTAGCCCTTTTTTTTGCCTTGACTTGTATAACTCTTTTTTCTAACGTTAGGAAATGCCTCGAAAAGTTAGTTATGGAGTTGATTATGACGAAGATTATGATGATTATGATGAATACGACTATGACTATGACTATGATGTAGAAGAAAATGGTGAGTGGATTTGATTTTGTTTTTTCAAATATGGGTTTTTCTCATTGTTGCTGTAAATAGGCATTTGAATTTTTTGTTCTTGAGCTAATTGTAATTGGGCATTTTATTTTCTCTGACAGTGGAAGCTCCTCAATCTCACCAGCAAACTACCAAGACTGGTGTATGGCGATGCTCTATTTGTACTTATGATAATGAAGAGGGCATGTCTGCGTGTGATATTTGTGGGGTCGTTCGTAATCCTTCAGTTAATAATCGCACCGAGAATGAGAAGAGAACAGGTGTGTCAATATTTTACTTCATGGCCTATTGATGATTCAATTTATATTATCTGGAAAATGAGCTACTTTACTGATTGGTCCCCATCTTTTCTCATTCTATTGGACATGGACTTGCTGTTTCCTTCTTCCTCTCTCCCTGGAGAGATAGCTTGCTAGTTAAATTTTTTGCATGTCAGATATGGTCTTGGGGCCAAAACCATGTCTAGCTTCAACCCCACTACTTTCTTTGAGGTTGCCAAGTAGACATTTTGCATATCACATTTTCCATGTGTTCTAGGCTTTAATATCTATTTAGTGTCCTTTTTTTCATTTTGGCTATACCTTTATAGAGTAGATCTCTTTCCTGCAGTTAATGGCATATGCAAAGATTCTGGAGTATCCATTATGGCCAAGTCTCTTTTTGCATCATTGCCACATCAAACATCCCAAAATGCTGTAGACTCTGAACAGCAGAATGATGATTCTGTGATGAAAGAGGGTTCTAACTTCCACCTGCTTGGCAATACCCAAGGACAAGTTCATGAATTTGTTAAGGCTTTTAGTTCTTGTAGCCTTTCCCGAGTTAATATAGGTCTGTTTGTACTCTGAATAGGATATGGATTTATTTAGCAGACAAAATGTGTTCCTTTAAGTTGATGATACTTCTTTCCAAGTGTTAGCTCATTTTTTTTTTATTAAAGCTCTTTTTTTCCTTTTTCTTTTGGTTTCCTCCTTATGCTTCATGTTGTCCTTGGGAATTAAGTTCTGATTCATCTCAAAAACTGAAAAGCATTGCTAGTTGAATGGTTTAGTGTATATTCTAACCTTACATGTATTATTGATGCAGTTCCTTTCAAGTTTGACACTCCATCCCCGGATGATGTGGTTTCTAATGGACTGTATTCCACCAAAATAGGTCCAAAAGGTATCCCTTTCATGGTTGCAATTTGACATGTGACATCACAATGAATTGTATTCTCCAAAATACTTACCCTAATTGTTTTTTTATTTATATTAGAACTTAAAAGAACTAGAAGACACTGTGTTTTGTAATTAGACCAATTTAGAATTATGTCCTGATTTTGTGCTTGCTATTACTCATTATTCTAGAGATAGTTCTTGGATGATATAACATGTCACATGGATCTAGTCTAATCTCTGCTAATGTGTTCAGAATTTCATTCAAGCTCATTTCTTCATATTTTGTCGGCGTATGTAAGTTTTTTGATGAGTTTGAAATAATTGTTGTTTCCTAATCATCATTATGATTCTTGTTTTATGTAACTATATGTTCTCTTGGTTATGTTTTTGTGTTTTAGTACTTTTACTAATAGATCCAAACTAATTGCTTTTTTCCTTAAAAAATGGTCTTAATTTCAGAGTTTATGGTAATATTTCCTGTTTTGCTAATCTTTTGCCATTGCAGCTAACTTTCTCGTCTCTCGCTCTTCAAAAAGTTCCTCAACTGTAACTGGGAGAAAAGGGGGAGTTCCCGTACAATCAAGTGTCAACAGTTCAGAAAGTTCTCAACAAGATAGCCTGGAAAAAAGTGGTGTTTCAAAGAATGCAGTAGGGAATACGAGATCAACATCTACAACTTCAGATAGGTCTTCTGCATCTAAGGCTAGAGGCCAATCTGATAATATTGATGAAAGCAATAATCCAGTTAACATAAAATCAAGCGATAAGAACTCATCTTCGTTGATGGAAAAAGGAAAATTTGCTGTGGATGGTAGCAGTGCTTTGATGAATGGTTATGAGACAAATAGTGTTACAAGTGATTTGAACAACATTTCTTTGACTGTTAAATCTGGAAATGAAATTGATATTCGTGCTGCAAGAGCTAACTCAACTGTGAAATATAAACCTGAGAAGTGGATGCTCCCTGAAAAAGCAGAAAATATGTTGATTCAACTAAATCTTGCAATTGTAAGTAAAGTATTGTGTTTTACTCATATGAGTATAGTTGTAAGTTTCTTTTTGTTTTGCTTTTTATCTCAAATTAATAGAAACGTGATCTTATTTGATATGTCTTAGGTTGGCCATGTTGACTCAGGAAAATCAACACTCTCAGGTAGATTGCTGCATCTTTTGGGACGAATATCCCAAAAAGAAATGCACAAATATGAAAAAGAGGCCAAATTACAGGTTAGTGTGAAGACATGCTCCATTGCACATTGTGTTGTGTCATTAAGTTTTGTTCTTGTTGGATTGATGTGGTGTTGATAATTCAATCAGGGAAAGGGGTCCTTTGCTTATGCTTGGGCATTGGATGAGAGTGCGGAAGAAAGGGAAAGGGGAATAACCATGACTGTAGCTGTGGCCTATTTTGACTCGAAAAGATACAATGTTGTTATCCTTGACTCCCCAGGGCACAAAGATTTTGTTCCAAATCTGATCTCTGGAGCAACTCAAGCTGATGCTGCAATTCTTGTCATAGATGCCTCTATAGGTTCATTTGAAGCTGGTATGGACAGCAAAAAGGGCCAGACAAGGGAGCATGCACAGCTAATCAGGAGTTTTGGTGTCGATCAAATTATAATTGCGGTTAACAAAATGGATGCTGTAAGGTACTCAAAGGATCGATTTGATTTTATCCAGTCGCAGCTGGGGACATTTCTCCGTACATGTAATTTTAAGGATTCTTCTGTCTCATGGATTCCACTGAGTGCTATGGAAAATCAAAATTTGGTTGCAGCTCCTTCTGATGTTTGTCTATCATCCTGGTGAGTCTTCTTTTATCTGTTTCGAGTTATCAATTTTTAGAATTTTAAGTCTTTTTTTTTTTTCTCTAAAATTGATTCTTAGATAGCTTGTCTTGGTGAGTCGTTGGGAAATAAATATTGGCAATCCTTTGGGGAAATATTTGCCAGAGTTTTCAACAAATTTCTGTTGATATTTTATGCAGGTATCGGGGTCCATGTCTTTTGGATGCAATTGACTCTCTCCAACCTCCCACTAGAGATTTCTCAAAGCCTCTAATTATGCCCATATGTGATGTTGTGAAACTGTCTTCACAAGGTCAAGTGTCTGCCTGTGGTAAACTGGAGGCTGGAGCTCTTCGAAGTGGATCAAAGGTATTCAATTATGTGTGATTAAAGTTGTTTTTGAGTAATCAATAGAATTCTTTGTTTTAAAGTGAGATGTTGTGCTTCTACTTCTTTAACACAAAGAAACTAGTAATTATCTCCTCTGTTCTCCCTTTTTAAAAGCATATGTTTAGATTTGACTGTATTCTTAGAGTTGCACGATCTTTTTTTGTGCAGTTATCATGCTTTAGCAGTTACCATAAAAATACATGCCTTTGTTTTTGAGATGTAGAGTTTGCATCTCGTTTTCTGTCTGCCTCTCAATGCAAATGATTTTGGAATGCTCATGAATGGGTTGCACGACTTCTCAATCATTTTATCATGATACATTATCTTATTGTCCATAGTTACTAGGCACTGCTGCCACCACCTGGTTTTCACCATGTTGTCTTCTATCTCTTTGTGATTGATATTTTTCATCCAAGAGATGGTTATTTACTTTGTTACTCCGTTATGAAGAGAGCATTGGATGTTATGTTGGTGCATGCACCAAAATAGTATGAAAATAGATGCAGGTTTGGATGCCAACGATATCAATCCAGTTTTTTAGAACTGATGAACTGTTATTTTAATATGTAAAATTATAGGTTATAGTTCTGCCTTCCGCAAATATAGCAACAGTGCGTTCATTAGAGAGTGGCTCCCAGGGTTGTGCAATTGCTAGGGCAGGAGACAACGTGGCTGTGAATTTGCAAGGGATTGATGGAAATCATGTGATGGCAGGGGGTGTGCTATGTCACCCTGATTTTCCAGTTGCAGTAACAAAACATTTGGAGTTGAAGGTGCTTGTCTTGGATGGTGCAACTCCAATTTTAATTGGCTCTCAGGTAAACGCTCTTTTACTACTTTTGTCTTGTTTCTTGTGAGACGTTTTTGTCTATGGAAACAATCTAATCATTTGACCCCAATGAGCAGTTGGAATTTCATGTACACCATGCAAAGGAGGCTGCAAGGGTGGTAAAGATTTTATCATTACTTGATTCAAAGACTGGCAAGGTCACAAAGAAGGCACCACGTTGTCTTACTTCTAAGCAGAATGCAGTTATTGAGGTGAGACAGGAAGACAAGAGTTCTTGTTACAACCAATTGCATGGTGGACAATCATGAAATTTGGTTTGACCTTGGTCTGTTTTCTAATTTCAGGTGGTTCTGCATGCCCCAGTTTGTGTGGAAGAGTTCTCAAGATGCAAAGCTCTTGGAAGGGTTTCTCTAAGATCACTCGGAAGAACAATTGCCTTGGGTGTTGTATCCAGAATTATCGATGAGCAGCAGTAGTTTTGTGATTTTGCTAGCATTTGCGTCAAATTTTCAACAAATAACACCTCCATGATCTTGGTTGGCAACAATTTCCTTAGCGGCACTTAGTAGTATTCATGTAACTTGGAGAAGATGCTTTCCTATAAAACAGCATTGAAAGACCATCTTTTAGGCTGCTGATGCATCATAGTCACAGAACCCTTGAGCCTTTAATATGTACTTTTGGGTACTAGATACATAGCATGTAAAATTTTCTTCATTCTTTATTATGCAAACTTGTAAAATTCTTCCAAATCAAAGTATTTTCTTTGTGAACCCTAATCGGTGACTTATGTGGTCATTGCGTGATGTTCCACTTACACCGTAAGAGTTCAACCTCCCATGTTTCTTATTTCCCCTCTCCTTTCCTCAATTCTCTACTACCAAAAAAAAAGGCATCTTTTTCGCTGGCTAAAGCATGGTTCGAGCAGGATAAATAGCTATAAAATTATTCTCTAGAAATTAGTATTCACTTTAATTTATGTGAGAATATGCTTATTTCATTCCTTTATGAGTAAGAAAATATATAGTAATACATAACAATCATTCGATTCAAAATTTGACGGACAATTTATGTAATACTTACATGTATTAATAGATTTTAACTCAAGTACATTAGTATATGTCATGTTTTCTATATTTAATATTATTTATACAATATAATATTTTATAGCTCGGTATATATTATCTATAAAATACGAACTATTAACACTACTAAGCGACTTGATGGTCGCGCGCCTCATTGAGATTGGTGAGTTGTTAATCAAATCTGGGGATCGAATCTTCAGTTACTAATATTTAACAATACTAATCTACTAACAATTGACCTTATCAAAAAAAAAAAAATAAATAAAAAACACGAACTATTAAATTAGAAGTGCTTATCCTCGGTTTCGGACAGCCTGTCCCCATCAGATGGAAAACACAATCTATCACAGCACATTTTTGTTGACGAAAGAAAATACAGGATCACTATATAAAATGGTGCAAGTGAATCCAAAAGCAAATTAGAGACACACACCATACACGTTTACAATAAACCGCCCATTCTTGGGCCCAATTCAATTTTCCATTTTTCCACAAGTGGATTGGGAAAATAAAGAAAAAAAAAACACTCTCCATCAAAGGTTAAGATCCTTAAGCATGCCGCGAGACGCACCACCCATTGTTATATTTATAGGTAAATAGGTATTCTCTTAAAGGATACCTTTATTTAAGTTTTGGGAGTAGTATATGAAGAAATTAATTTTTTTTTGAATATATTAAATTGATATAGAATGCATTTTTAAAATTAATTTAAAAAATTAATAATTTAAATAACTCAATAGTAATTTTTTTAATTGAAATAAAAAATTTTTAATTTAAATTTTATGATATGTAAGTAAAATAAGTTAAAAATAAAAAAAAAAACTTATCTCTTATTATACAACATTAAATTAAAGCAAAAAATCTAAAAAATTAATTTTAAAAACAAAATAATTAATAATAAATAAATAAATAAAAACGCGTGACACTGATGAAAGCAATGTATACCGAAAAGTCCGATATATAATCATTTTCCTTTTTACGTTTTTGTCTCGCCGTGTAGAAGTTTTGTGCAAATCCATTTCTGGTCCTGCAATGAGTTGTGTGTGGTATGTCAAAATTGTCCCACCATATCATTTAGTTGAGTTGAAGTAGAATAGTTGTTTAGTCTTATGAGTTATGGCACATGAGAAGCCATATACCTATCCCATTGTAAAAGTTCAAGTCAAATTCAGCTAGCAAAGTTAGTTACCCAGGGCATTAACCCCATAAAATGCATATAATTTATAATCACCCTGTTTTACAATATAATTTTATAATATAACTTGATATGAAATAAGTAATATAAAGTAAATTAAAAATAATAGATACTAAAGTAGGCATTCGTTGATGCATAAGTTTTGCATATTATATTTTGTTTACACCCATTTTTACAAAAAAAAAAAAAAATGGTGATACGTGCCATCCATGTTAACAATAATTTCATTGGTTGAAAATAGTTAGAATAAATCTCTCTGAATAAAGTTGAGTGATTATTTCTACAACTGTAGCGAAGGCGTTCGCTTGTTACGAATGGCAACATCAATAAATTAAGCTGTTTGTTTCAGATATCACGCTACCGTTGGTTTTTCAAGATTGCTGCCATAGATCTCCAAGCATGCTGCCATAGATCTCCAAGCATTCTGCCAAAGGGTATTTATTGTTATAAGTATGCAGAGAAGAAACGAAGTAAAAGGAGTAATCTCTCACACAACTAGCCCAATGCTATCTAAATTTTAATTTTACAAACAATGTCTTATTTTAGATCCAACTTTCTCAAACAACTTTCCTAGTTAAGTTTTTAACTCTACGCTACCATTAGTTTTAACTTTAGTTTTTGTTATTTCGTTGTGAACATCTCCATTTGATGTATTTAGTTTTTTGCAATTCAATTTAGTGCACTTTGTCCCAAATTCATCTTTCTAACTTCTTTTAAATTTAGTCTTATGCTTCAGTTTTTATTTCGTTTTCTACGTTTTCATGCTTTCGCAGCAGCATCACATTTTCTTTCTACAATTTAGTTTTCTCGCCATGCACTCTCTTTTTTCTCTTTTCCTTTATTTTTTTCTTTTATTTCGATCAGAAACTAACATTTTAGCCCTAGTTGTGGGAAGTCTGCTGTTCTTCTAAGGCAATTATTTATGGACCTTTATGCAAGAATGCACTATCGTTTCTGCGACAATCGTCTGACTAGGGCGTTTCTCTTAATTTATTTAACTGGTACTCTTCCATTGACTCGCAGCTGAGTTTCACGCTTGGAAGTAGTGAGAATCACCCGGGAATTCTTTTTTCTCACTTTAAGCAAAGTGAGTGACAGACCTTTACAGTCTTATCTGCCACACGGCTCGAAAGGGAGATTTTGAAAACAACATATTTATATAAAATTTTGATAATTTATTTTTTATTTTTAATAGTTCATATTTATTTTTTTATTAAATTTATTAAAGATAATTATTTTTTATTTAAAAAATCATAATAAATTTCAATAATTAAAAATAAAAAAATAAATAATTAAAATTTTATGTAAATATGATGTATAAAACTTGTATATAAATAAATTATTACTCTATATACTAATAACTTAAAAATGATATTTAAAAATAATAAATAATTAAAAATTATCATGATAAAATTGTAGCAAAAATTTATTTTACAATTTAAATTAAATTAAACTATAAAATAATTACTCTTAAGTTAGAAGAGGGTCTTTGACATTGATATTAAACCCTTCTTTCCCGTATAAAATAATTAATCTTAAATTAAAAAAAAATCCTTGATATTAAATTTTTTTTAAAAAAATTATATTTTATAATATAACATAATCTGTTTTTGATAAAAAGGAAACCTAATTGTATAAAAAAAAATTATAAGCATGTCATTTTAAATAATAAAAAACAAATTACTTTTTCTTTAGTCAACACGGAAAGTGTTATTACCTAATGCTTTGACTTTCTCCAAGAAATTTTCTTCGAATATTTTTGGCACCCCTCGGCGAGTTGCGTGTTGACTCAACGTCAATGCATCCAGAAGGCGCTACGAATGCCTTTCCTCACCATCGATATAACTACTTCCATGATGATTTACAGAATTCAGATAACCAAATTAAGCTTCTTCTTTCATGATGTCTTCCCCCTTTGTTGAAATAGCTCCCTTCTCCTTTGATAGAATTTCTCCTTCCTCATCTCCTTCCCCGTCTGATGGCGTCGACGGCGGAGAAGCAGTTGGCGGTAAGTTCTTGCATCATTTAATTTACACGACCCACTAAGAATTATCATGTCCAAATCAATAATAATGGCGATTGATACATTAATTTGCAGTGACATTTGTGATCTTGGTAGCAATTGTGTTGTTTTTAGCAATTTTAATCATCACAGTTGTCTATTTTTACTGCGGAAACGTGGCCAGAAGAGCTATAGAGGGTGCTCCACCGGTTAGTCAACTACCCCACTATGCAGTTCAAGTTTGGGAGGGTGATGTATCCTCCATGGAGAAGTTCTTGCAAGAGGTGGCAAAGGAGAAGCTGGTGAGATTCACTGCTCAGCAGCTTAGTGCATTCACGAGCAATTACTCGACCAGGTTCGGATCTGGGGGATTTGGTGTAGTCTATAAAGGGCAGTTTCCTAATGGGGTCAAAATTGCAGTCAAGGTGCTCGAGAGAAGTTCTGCGAGAGCAGTAGGGGATCAGTTCATGGCTGAGGTAGGCACAATTGGAAAAATATATCATATTAATCTGGTTAGACTTTATGGTTTTTGCTATGATAAATTTATGAGTGCACTTGTATATGAATTCATGGAGAATGGATCACTTGATAAATACTTGTTTAAGGAGAAGGAAATGATTGAGTGGGAAAAATTATATGAAATTGCTATAGGGACGGCCAAAGGTATTGCTTATTTGCATGAAGAATGTCAAGAGAGAATCATCCATTATGATATAAAACCTGCAAATGTACTCCTTGATGCAAACTTGTTCCCTAAAGTTGCTGACTTTGGGTTGGCAAAACTCTGCAATAGGGATCTTAGTCATGTTTCAAATACTGGGTATAGAGGAACCCCTGGTTATTCTGCTCCAGAATTCTTGTTGAAGAATCATCCCATAACATACAAATGTGATGTGTACAGCTTTGGAATGGTGTTATTTGAGATAATTGGGAGGAGAAGAAACACAGTTATAACCTCCTCTGAAAGCCTTGATTGGTTTCCAAAGCATGTATGGGAGAAATATGAGAAAGGTGAATTGGCTGAGATGACCAAGACTTGTGAGATTGAAGACAAGGATAGAGGAAAAGCAGAGAGAATGTCAATGGTGGCATTATGGTGTGTTCAAGACTCACCACAGGTAAGGCCGACAATGAGTGCAGTGGTGAAGATGCTAGAAGGAGGAGTGGATATCATGCCACCTCCTAAACCCTTTCGGTATCTATTCTCAATTGGGATGAATTCACTCAAGCCACCAGCGACTGCAACTGGTTCAAGCTTCACCTTAAGTGAAGAAAATAATTCCTATTGGTATAAAGACACCACACCTATCATGACCAAGTATGAAATACAAATGGCTAGTTGTTGATCATACTAGAATCTAGATTTCAAAAAGTCAATGCATGTTTTGTTTCGATGTTGTTATTGTATAAAGTTTCTCTTCTCCTATTTAGCAAACAGATATGTACATCTCATTTACCATGTTTCTCTGGTGCAAGCTGATAATATCTTAGGACAACAAATTCTAATGATCATGTTGAAAAAGGGGTGTTGGCTTAAATCTTGATGTTCATGATGAGAATAGGATGTTTAGCTTAAAAGACTAAGCAAAGCAAATATTGAGGAGATTTTATGGATTTAACTTACATTTTAAACTATCAATCTGTATTATCATTGTTGATTTGAAATCCTTACGCTTAGCAATATGATTTATGCCTTCCAATTTCATTTACTTATTATTATTTTGATATTTAGAATAAAAATATTTTCGAACCATCTTTTTACACATTTTAAAACTAATCCCTCACAAACTATATTAAGGGTGTATTTTCTTATTGTTTTTATGCATTAAAAAAAAAATTAAGTCCTAAAACTTAAATTTTAAATTTGATTTACAAAATGATACTTGTTTGCTGGATATAATCGATGTGGTTCATTACTTAGTTCTTTTCCTATATTAATGGTTAAACTTATTTCTTACTTTCTAAATTCATTTACAAGCATTAAAATTGGAAGCAATCACTGAAATGAAATCAGACTCTACTCCGGGAAAATGTGGTATGTCTTATAGTAGATTCTGAAACAATGCTTGGATGAACTTGCTCCTAAGATAATTTATAGTATTCATCAATCAGGATTCTTCGGTGCGGGTTCTCAATTTCCCATGGAAGATTGTCGGGAAAATCTGGTATATCTTATGGTAGAGGGCGCCGTGCTATTCCGGCCCGTTTTCTTTACCTGACCCAATTACACGATTCTTGGGCTAAATGTCCCCTACACTCACAGGTGAACTTCTAAGTGGAGCCCATTAAGAATCCAATAGGTTTCAAGTTCTATACCTAAGTAACTGTTTGAAAGGCTTCGTTGGGCCTGTCATTTTACCCACCAACCGTCAAAACGGAAATACTTAATTTCAACCTCCAATACTCCCCCATCCACCCCCTGTCTTTAAAAAATAATAATAATAAATAAAGCCAATTAAAGTTCAACAAAACGTAAGATATGTAATCTTTTTTTTCTTTTTTTTTTTTTGTGTATTTGTCTTTAGTTTTCCTTTTGTCAGTTCTTTACGCAGACTTTTTCATACAGTAACTTATATAAAAATAAAAATTTTTAAATTTTAATTATTTTTAATTATTTTTTACGTATGCTTTTGCTAAATTTGATTAATGTGTTATGTATTTTTTAGATAATAAGAGATAAAAAAAAATTATAGTTACAAAACACATCACAATATTAACAAATAAAGCTTTAATGTGTATAAATTTAGTGCAATTTTATTTCTCTTGTCTTGCAATGTGCACATTTAATACCAATTCCATTTTTATTTTACGAAATAATTCAAAATTTCAAACATGTAACTTTCCAGACACCACAAGTGATATTTGATACATTAATCATAGTCTCATTTCAAAATTCAAACGTGAAACTTTCTTCCAAAGACCACAAAACATATTTGATACATCAACAATCTTTGTTTTAGAAGGGAGTTGTGTTTACATTCACTAGGCTACTAGTTATTTAGGATTTTAGACATGTAATAAAATAATAAATCTTGATGACAAGACTAACAGAAATTGATAATAAATTTAAAATATTCTATATTTTCCTCTGTTATTAAACTTATAATCTATGATATTTGCTAATGAAAATTCATCTTCCATTAAAAAAAAAAAAAGAAAAAATGAAAAAATGAAGTGAGTTGTGTTTGGGTACAATAATGTACTTTACAATGACCCTTTGCTGCCATATGTTTCCTAACAGCTTCCAAACTGATGAAGGGATGACAAAGATCGTTGCAATACAGACACATGAAATCCCTCTTGACCTCAGAAAAAGAAAGCACACATCAGAAAATGAAACAACAAATGCCATTGAAAGGTATAAAAAGGATTCATCAAATAAACATACACAACATATAATTCAGACCTTAAGGCCCAGATAAGTTAGCAAGCCTTCTGGATCTTTCAAATACTCCACATCGGGAATAAAGAATCCATGTTGCTTATGCATGTGAATCATGCAGTTTTCTATGCTATCATGCTCTAGATCACACATAAAACAACATGATGGATCCAATTCCTCCTCATCATCTTCACTGTCTTCCTCACCATTAGTATCCATGTCATTGCTATAGGCAGACTCATCTACATTCAATGCAGTCAAGGACTTGGAAGCCACCTTAACCAATTCTTCTTCAGGATCAACCTCCTCCCATTCATCTTCACTTTCCTCACTTTCATCACCGTTTGCCTCCCTGCTTGCAGTAGGCTTATTCACAACACGACCAGGAAGGGGCTTAATTATTACCTTCTCCTCTTCAGACTGATTAGTTCCTTGAGAACCCCTCATGATATGATGGCCCCGTGATTTGAGATGTTGATCATAAGCCTGGGAACTCCGATACTCCTTCCCACAAAGACCACAACTATAAAGCATAGCAGTTTCATTTTGCTTATTTTTCTCCTGAGTAAGTGCAGATTGTCTAGCAAGAAACAGAGCTTCAGTGACTCCAGGAACCCCACCTACCTATTTTCTCCCAAATAAATAAGACCGTCCCAAATTATTCAAGCTGATAAAAAACAAGGCAATTTACTTATGTTTGTACCAGAAAAATCAACCAAACATACACATATGAAGAACACACTAACCACGTAGAAAACATGGTGAAAATTAAGAGTCTTCATGACTAACATCAACCCAGAAGAGGGAGTCCATATTCCATACGGTCATACGCTGTATTGAAGAATCCAAAAATGAAGGAAAGTAAAGGAAGTACCTTTCGCTTGAGATTGTAGCGGTGCCAATCGGACTTGTAATGAAGCTTTTGCTCGGCATCGTGGTTGAATTCCTTGTTACAAGCATTGCAGGTTAACCCCGGCATTCTTCCTCCAACAAATTCTTAAAAGCTGCACATGTAGAGAAAAAAACGGAGATTTTTGCTTTATAAACGCAGGCGGGGAAATGTTGGAGAAGACGAGGGTTGGCGTCAGCGGTGAGGTTTACATAACGGCGGCCCAGGGTCGGTGAGGTGAGACGGTGCTGGTAGCCTGGTACAATTCAGGTCCATATTCTTTACCCGATCCATTTACGCAATTTCTTGGGGCTAAATGGCCTCTACATATCGTAGTTCGAACTTCTAAGTGAAGCCCATTAAGAACCCAACAAACTTCAAGTTGTATACCTCTGTAACTATTTGATGGGCTTCGTTGGACTTGGGCCTTTTCTAGTTGTGTAGATTTTTTTTTTTTTAAGTAGCAGAAAATCAAACGCGTAGAAGCTAACTAGTCAAGGGAGTTGGTCAATAAATTATTAAAGAGCTATTGAATTGGAAAATTACAGAACGTCGTTATGGCCAATAATTTAAATTTTTTTTAGGCATTTTTATTTTTGTTAAATAGTTATTTATAATATTTAAAAATATTAATTAATTAATTTTAATTTATTAAATAAAAATATTAAATATTAATTATTTTTAAAAATAAATTATGTAAAGATTGTAAATATTAATTTTTTTTTTTTTTTTATACATTTCCTGATGTTTCCTACTCGAGGCTTCTCTATAAAACCTTTCTCTCGTTTCCACCGTCTGTCCCTTTCTCTTCTGAAGTTGAAGAAATTGAGATTTTTTGGGGAAACTCTTTCCTCTTGAACGGGACGACGCACTGATTCCACGTTTTGCAAGATTAGTTTGGTGAATTGTCGAGGGAAGATCGACTTCATGGAAAAAGTTTACTCAAAGCGTGCATCTATTTCCGTGGTTCGGGGTTCTTTTGTGGTCCATTTAGATGAATTCCGCGTTGTGTTGACATTATTTCGAGAGTCCATGAATTTTTTCTTCGTTCTTGTCTTGTTTTCTTCCTCTGCTTCTTGAACCTGAAATTAATTCTTGCGTGTGGAAAACGTTTTGCTTTGGCAGTACTGCCATTCCCTTTCCCTTCTTCGCCAGTCGAGTGGTTTGATGAAAGGAGAAGTCTTACCCTAATAAGACGGAGAGGGAGCAATAATCAATGCGGGAATTTTCGCCGTATCATCCAATGTCCAATCACCTTAACATTATTTGAGTAGTGGAATAGGAATTCAAAAATGATACTAGAAAAAGTTTGATTGACTTTAATATATGCATTAATAATTGGAAAGTTTTCTAAATAGTTAAAAAAATTTTAAAATGAGATAAATAAGAAGTTGATCCACTTAACAATTATTAGTAATTTGAAAATTTTGTGAGTAGTTGAAAAGAAAAACAAAAGTGATAGGCTTTGCTTTTTCTAAAAGAAAAGAAAAAAAAAAACCTATACCTGTGGTAGAGAACAGTACAGCGTTGCAATTGGAAATTTCGTTACATAATCCAATGTTCAATCATGCTAACAACGTCAATGCTTTGTAACTGTTTGATCGGCTTCATTGGGCCTTCAAGTTCTATAGAGCATTGCAATTGGCAATTTCGTTACATGATCCAATGATCGATCACGCTGACGTCAATGCTTCAGGCTTAGGCTTCATCATCCATCATCCATGAAATGCTTCCTCTTATTTATGTGACTTCCATCATTTCATAAAACGGATGATCAAGCTTCTTTTTTCACGATGTCTTCTTCCCCCTTGGATGCATTTGCTCATTTCCCCCATGGTGCAGCCCCTTCTCTCACTGGTGCAGCCCCTTCTCCCGCTGCCGGAGGTGAACTCCACAATGGAGGTAAATTTTATTGGAATAATAGTTGGCAGTAAGTTCTTGCATCATTTAACATGACGAATTTAGAATTATCATGTCCAAATTGATAATAATGGCATTTAATTTGATAAATTAATTCGCAGCG